AGGTGTAAACTTAATGGCCTTTTCATTAATACCTTTTTTTAATGATTTTTTATCCAAAATTTTAATGCATTTTGGTTATAGCATAAGCTTTGCTCTAAATTTTAAAACAAACTTAATTAGTGATTACTAATTGAGTTATTAATCATTCGCTAGAGTGTCGTTCTACGAGTTATCGATCGACGGATCGCCTAGGGAGAAACAAAAAAGTTCGGGTATCATGGTATGCCCTGGGACAGGGTCGACGTCCTGGTATTTTAACAGCAATAACATCACCGAAACCACTGTTAAGGAGATACTAAGAATTGGTTGGTTGGTTGGCTGATTGATTGGTTGGGTGGTTGGCTTTCTAGTTGGCTGATTAAGAATTACTTTAAAAGATATTTATTTGAAGAAAGTTTGCCCTCCACACAGCTCAAAAATACCATTGCTGCAGCGACACTAACTTAACTGACACGACGAACATCCATAGAATTGTTGAAGAATTCAACGGGGCTCTTGTCTTCAACCCCACTGACCTTAAAATGGCCTATTCGGTCAGGGACCCCCTCACGTCTGGTAAGATTTTTGGGCAGATGTGTGACATTTTATTTATTTAATTATTCGTTCATTCATTCATAAATTCATTTATTTATTCATTTATTTATCTATTTATTATTCAAGGGATTTTTCATGTAAGCTCAGAGCCCAGAGGCTTCTGTACCAAGTAAATATGAAGCTGTTCTCAGTTTTTTTGTGTGTTTTAAGAAGATTTTTGGTTAGAGCGTAATGTCTTGCTTTGATTTACCGTTATATGTTTCTAAAATATTACTAATCATTTACTCTTCAAAAACACATTCGCACATCCCTAGTTTAAAAGTGAAATCTCGAATGTGGGATGCCTGCGTCGTTATAGACGGCAGTCTGAGTTACTCATTCAACGATGGGGCTGAATTGGATTTGTCCCTCTACCCGGAGGATGCCCTGCAGTGTATCAGGATTCTCCCGGGTGCCAATGAACAGTAGCTAAAATTCTCTCTCCCTCTCTTTTCTTCTCTCTTTCCCCATTTTCTCTTTCTTTCTTTTTTGTTTTTCTGTCTTTTTTGGATTGTTTATTAGTTCATTTTTTTAGAAACTTTCTTTTTATTTTCGTAATTTATTTATCTCTCTCTCTCTCTCTCTCTCTCTCTCTCTCTCTCTCTCTCTCTCTCTCTCTCTCTCTCTCTATCTCTCTATCTATCTCTATCTCTCTCTCTTCTTTTAATCTCTCTTTCTCTTTTTTTGTGTTATATAATTTATTTGGTTTTTTGAACCTCTGTCTTTTCATCTTTATATACAATCTTCAATATTTATTTGTCTTCCCATCTAACTGTCTATTTATCTATCTATATATATCTATATATCTATCTATATATTTATCTATCTATATATCTATCCATCTATCTATTTAAATGTCTATTTTTTTACGTATCTATCTAATTATATTTATTTCTTTTTGTATCATTTATGATCAAATAATTTGTTTTCTTAGCTCTATCTATCTGTCTGTCTGTCTATCTATCTATCTATCTCTCTATCTGTCTGTCTGTCCATCTATTTGTCTGTCTATCTATTTATTTGTTCTTTCGTATCTCTTTGTATTGTTTATGATGCAACAATTTTGTCAGATGAGTAGAAATTAAAAGAAACTCTTGAGAGATTGCAATTACATTTGTCAATATGTAAATATTATCTTTTATGCTATTTATTTCGTCATTATTATCTTAATATTAGGTAAATCGCGAATCTGTTTGTTACATGATGTGTAAATAGGTGAACATTTAGAAAATGAACGAACGAATGAATGAACGAACGAACGAATGATTGTATAAATGAATGAATGAACAGACAAACGAGACGAATGAATAAACGAATGAATAATTAATCTGTGAATGAATGAGTGAGTAAACGAATGACCGCTAATAAGAATGACCGTCTTTCCTTGATGGATATATTTATTTGAAATAAGTTAATAAATAAATGGTCAATAAATAATGGTAATGATCAATGGACATTTATTAAGATATTTTATATAATTTTTTTTATAGGAGCGTAATTAAATACGAAAATAATATTTGTTTATACTTATATATGTTTCATGTATGTGTCACATGGCGTCTTATGACATTAAAGAAAATTTTTTGCTGTGTGTATGTGCTTGAGTTTATGTGTGAGTGATGAGTATATGTGTGTGTACATGTGTGAGTGATGAGTATGTGATTGTGTCATTTTAATCATTTATTATTATTTCAGCAGGAGGTTTATTGTGCTATAAATTTGTATAATAATAATAAATAATAATAATAATGTTTCATTTAAAACGGCGCCTCTCCATTCTAAATCGCGCCATGTTTTAACATGTTAAATTTATTCTAACGATATTGGCCGTAGTTTTAAGTTGATGACAGTGTAAACTAGCGTTGTCGAAGTTTTGTTCTGTACCTAAAATCAGTTAATTTTTCTAAAAAGGTTCATCATGCGTTTGTTTCGTTAATGTTAGGTTAGGTATATTATGTTAAATTGTTTTGTTGCATATAGCTAGTGTTGAAGTTGTTTGTTTTATTCGGTTGATATAATGATTATTTTAGTTAGTATACTACCTTCTCTCTCTCCCTCTCTTCCTCTCTCTCTCTCTTTCTCTCTTTGTCTTTCTGTCCCTCTCTCCCTCCATAATTTTTAATTTAGTTTATATTTTACGCAATTATTCGTTTGGTTGTTTCATTATTTTCGTTAATTTTCTCTTCTAGGTAAAAGTTTGTGCAAATAACTTCTTTGTGAACTGATGAATGAATAGATTTTAAAAATTGTTGAGTTTTTTAAACTTTATTTTAATGTGACTTAAATTTAATAAAAATATAATAAATTAAATTTATATTTTATTGTGTATATTATAATTATTATTTAATATCTCGATATTTCAAATTTTGCGTAAATTAAACAGGGTTTTAGGGTCTTAATAATTTTATAACTGGAAAAATGTTCGAATCTGAACATTCAAATCTGTTTATTCATTATTTTAAGATATTTTATGTAATTTTAAATAATAATAAAACGTGAAAATTGAACGATAATAAAGTATGAAGTTGTTTAAATTTTAAATTCAAACATTTAATTAGTATAACTGCAAGCTTGAAACATATCCATCCATGGCTCAAAATGACAGTTTTGTTTAAAATGCGATTTTGTCCGTTTTCGTGTCAATTTTTGTTTAGTTTTGCACTTAAATTTATTTGTAAAATGTAGATAAGAACATTAATTTCGTAGCTATTTTTGTTCTTTTAAATGTTAAATGGAGACAATTTGATACTCAAAAAATCTGTATAATGAATGAATAATATTTTTTTTTCTATGTAAAGTTTAAAGTTTAACTTGAAGTCGAAAGCCGAATAGCCGATAATATATGAACTTAAGTTGCGCCGTCTTCTAAATCTTGAAAACTTTTTTCAATTATTTAAATAACTAATTATTTAAATTATTGAAATACTCATTCTTAGGCTAGTGCTTGATTTTTTATACATTTATTTACATATTCTATTCCATTGGTTGCTTTTTCTGTTGTTAGTCACTAACATGTAATTTGTAATGAACCAGTCAGTCAGTGTTAGTGAGTTTGGTATTTGTAGGAGTGTCATCCCATGTCTGGAACTGCTGTTTGTTACAATTAATTGACATTTGGATATGCTTAGAAATTTTAGAAAGCTTGTTTTTAATTTAATTTTTTTTAGTTGACTTTTTTTATTTATTTTAAAATTTAAAATAATTAAATAATAATAAATCATATGAAAAATAATACAATAAATACTTTTGACATTTTCTAATGCCTAATCAGATTTCCTAAACTGCTTACCTCTTATCAGGATAACTGATTTTCATGATGAATGACTGTAGAATCCTAACTATTCAAAGTCATGTTGTCTATGGCTATGTTGGTAATAAGTCTGCCACCTTTCCATTGCAGGTAACTGTATGTTTCTCTCAGTGTCTGTTTGCTTCTCTCTCTCTCTCTTTTTTCTCACTCTCTCTTTTTTCTCACTCTCTCTTTTTTCTTTCTCTATTTCTTTTCTTTTATTAAATAAAATATTTTTATTTTACTTCCAAAAAAAGTTGTTGGGGTTTGAAACTGATGTAATAAACTCTGTACAGTTCTCTAATCATACAGGTTTATATTATAAATTAATTGTGATGATTTTAATGTTTTTTATTATAGTTTATTATTTATACCTTTATAATTTTTTATTATTTTTTTTCAATTAATGCATTTGTTTATTTAAGGAACTTTTTTTTAAATTTCATTTCATAAAATGTCACTCAATCTTAACTTACATAAGTAACTTAACTGTAACTTATATAAGTATCAGCAATCATTACAGCTAAAGTGAGTTTTAATCATAATAAGTAAATAATAAATAAATAAATAATAATAATTTAATTAATAGTTTTAATTAATTTTTTTAAGAAGGCTACACAACATTTCTAGGCCAGATGTTGGAATCCAGTGATTTGCTGCAGCTATACAATGGCCTAAATATTAATGGCATCGATAATTACTCTCATCTCCTAACTGGTTAGTGGAATGAAAGATCGAGTAAATGAATGAATAAATGAATGTTTGGATGATTGAATGGCTGACAGCTTCAACTGATTGATTAGTGGAATGAAAAAATGAGTAAATGAATGAATGATTGGATGATTGAATGGCTGGTGGCTTCAACTGATTGATTAGTTAGCTGATTGATTGATTAATTAATTAGTTGGTTGATTGATCATAACAATCGTCAAACAGGGTACACAAGGTCCAAATCTTTTTTATTGATGTTAGTTGATGTATGCAAGAAGCTGAAGAAGAAAAATCCTAATCTAATATATGGTCAGAAATAATAAAAATTTAAATTATAAATTATGAAATCATAATAATATTTTAGAATTATAATAATAATAATACTGCTACTAATAATAATGGAATTTAGGTCATTTATTTATTTGACCTATTTATTTATGTTTGTCTTTCCCTCAGTCTGTGACCCAGTTCTTGGTGATGATGGCCGTTTGGTGAGTAAAATTTTAGATGTGATGTTAATTAATCACATCTGTTTATCTATCTATCTATCTAACTACATCATTTATCTTGATATCTTTTTAACTCTTATCTATCTTTGTATCTTTCTTTTTTTTCTCTCTCACTTTTTGTCCTCTTCCTAACGGTCATTTTATCTATCATCAATGTATCTATTCGCTCATCTATCTATGATATCTATCTTTTCTCTCTTTTTCTCTATATCTCTATCTCTCTTTTTTCTTCCAGCCTCTCATTGTTTTCATTTCATTGTTTCACTATTAATCTATCAATTAACCATCCATTTATCCATCCATCTATGCATTTTGCCTCTCTTCCTCCTCTTCTTATTTTCAATTCATCCATCCATCCAGTACGTATCAGACGAACTTGTATCAGTATACCGAGATGACGTAATCACACAGGCTGATATCATAACACCGAATCAGTTTGAAGCTGAGTTAGTAGTAATATATGTGAGCCATATGGTGTAGTGGTTGAGGCGCCTGCTCCTGCTGTTGCAGTGACCTGGTTCAAATGCAAAGAGATTCTCGGTCACATCAATTAATTAATTAGTTCTCATTGTTTACGTTAATTATATTAACTAAAAAAAGTGCTGAAAATTGATTACAAAATTAAAAATTCCGGCTTGGATTTAGCCAGCAATGCAATAAAATGAAAGTATAACCTATCAGATTCAATAATTTTCGTTGTTTAAAGTATGACCTATCAGATTCAATAATCTTCGTCGTCGGCTGTTTAAAAATAAATGTTTAATACAATACGTAAGATGGGCGGGAAACTGAGCGCTCGAACACTGTCGAGATGAGCGTGATGGGCTGTCTAAACACATGGTTAAAACTCTAAAAACTGGTGTGAAAGTAAAAAACTGCTATGAGGTCCCTTAAATAATGCACCATATTACCGTTTCGGTATATTTATACTATACCGTACATATGGTATATAAGATGAAAAGTTTAGCTTTTGTTCGTTAGTTTTTAAAAAAAATCAAATTCTGCTCTGAGTATTCTAGATTATCTATTGGTCTCATTTAAAATCCATACAAAAAAAAGTGCAAGTATTTACAAGGTGTCATAATTTTTTACTAAGCAAAGTTACTAATTAGTAATTCAGTTCATTTTAATTATTACATGAATCCACTTCTCCACAAGATTACTAACTGGAATGAAGATAACGAGTTTAAAGTCGGCAAAGGAGGTCATGCTGAAATTACACGAGAAGGGTCCAGAGGTTGTAGTTATTAGTAGCACCAGTTTAGAGTTTAGTCGGGGTATACTTGTTGCTTTAGCTAGTACAATTGAAGGTATTTTATGTATTTATTATTGTAATTGCTATTTAATGTTCATTTCATTTCTCTTTTTTTTTATTGATTATTATTTTTTTGGTTATTATTCTTATTATTATTCCTATTTTCTACAGACGGGGAATTCAAATGTCTAAAAATAGAAATTCCATATTTGAATGCTAATTATAGAGGGTCTGGTGATCTATTCTCTGCACTCCTATTGGCCTGGTGGCAACGAACTAATTTCGATTTAAAAGTTAGGATGGTTGATTGATTGATCGATTGATTGATTGATTGATTGATTAGTAAGTTGAAGATTGGTTGATTGGTCAATCTATCGATCGATTGATTGAAGATAGATCGATCGATTGATTGATTTTGTAGGCTGATTGATTTTGTCATTTTAGTAAACTAACCATAAAGTTATCAATTTGTTTTATATTACTTTCCCCAAAAACATGCAGACAACCTTAGAGATAGTTGCATCAACAATGTACGTCGTTCTGAAAAATACATTAGACCATTACTTTAAATATGGTAAAGTTTATTTATATTATATTAATATTTATTGTTAATTATTGTTATTATTACTATGTCTCAATAATATTTAGCTTACATTATTTAATTATATTTGGGTGTTTAGGTAAAGACGCATTCTTACGAAGGCCCCATTCGTCAGAAATTGAATTGAAAATAGTTCAGAGTAAAAAAGATATAGAAGAACCAAAGATAATATTGAAGGCTGAATATTTTTGAGTTCTTTGTCTTTTTGTTTTATGTGTTTGTTGTGTTTTTTTGTTTATGCAATTTTCGTATAGTGTTTGTCTGTATTCCTGAAAAGTATTTTTGTATTAATGTTTTGTGTTCTTTGTTCTATCTATAATGTTCACTGGCACTGAGTTATTGTGCATGCATAATCAACTTTGATGTTGTTCCATTGTTATTTTTTGATTTTGAAAAACGTTTTTTTCTTAGGTTCCATATTTTTGGTTTAGCTAAATTTTTCAATTTGAATTAAGAAATGTTTTTTAAAAATATATTAAATTTTATTCAACGTTAGTGAAAGTAATAATTATTAATAATGTTGATTCTGTTATTAATCGGTTTATTCTTTTATACCTGGAGTGGGCAAACTACGGCCTATGGGCCGCAAACTATTTTATGCGGCCCGCGAGGTCTTGTTTGCCAATAAAGGTCGTCAGCCAGCTATTATGACCAAAAAAGGAACCACAAATCTTAAAAAATTTTCTCCCGGGTCGAAAAAATTTGCTATTTAAGTACATATGCGGCCCTTCAACGGTGAAATAGTTCTCAATGCGGCCCTCACAGCAAAAAGTTTGCCCACCCCTGACTTAAACATTCATTCAATTATTTATTTAGTCATTTATCATGCTATATTCATATGTTAGTTAAGTACGTGTGATTAATTAAAAGTTAAGTCAATGTTGATTGATTGGTCGATTGATTGATTAATTAACTAATTGATAACTTCATTGTTTATTTAATTCACGTTTAATTAAATTTTAAATCCGTTTTTAAGGTTTTAAGATTAATTTTTTTCTGTGTTGTAAATTTTTAAATTATTTTTTTTATTCTAAATGTCTGGACCATAATCTGGACAGCATGTGTTGATATGGACATTTTTCTAATGAAATTTGAAATATATATATATATGCACTGTCTGTGTGTGTGCGTGTCTGTGTGTGTGTGCGTGTGTTGTGTATCATCAACAATAGTGTATGTCAAAGAACGATAATAAAATGAACCGTTAGAGGTTTTTTTTTATGGAATTTTATTTCTGTGCATAGCAATAATCGTCTGAAACGAATTTGAAAAAATTTGTTATTCAATAGGAAAAGAATGACGCGAGAGTTACAATATTTATATACATCTTTTTAAATCTTTTTATTCTTTCTCTGAAGTATGCGGTGCACGTTTTGTATATCGAGGAAAGATAAAATTCGCTACAAGCAAATTTTTGACACCATCGACACGGATCACAATGGCTACATTGATCTGTGCGATTTCTGCAGGGCACTGAGTACCATCTACGAAGAAAACACTGGTGAACGTTTACACGTTGAGGTACATCAGTTTAGTTTATTTCTAATTAATTAATGTTGTTACTAATTTTACTTATTTAGTTATTTATCCAATGCCATCGATTAGGACCTATACAAAAAGGCCAACAAGGATCCTGATTCTAAGATGACATTTAGGGAGTTTGTGTTTCTCATGTCGGATATAGAGCGTGATCTAAAAATAGTCTTCATAGACATGAGTTCAGATGGTTAGGTACTAAGATTATAATTTAAATTCATTTTGAAATATTGGACCAAGAAATCAAACTGCCTTCAAAGTATTATCATTTTTCTTTATTTCAGGAGGTGAGATTGATGTATATGAGATAAAAAAGTTTTTTGACAAGCATGGCGTCTTATTGACTGATAAACAGGCTAAGAGTATAATATCTGAGTTAGTATTTTTATTATGATTGCGGGTCTACTACTACTACAGAATGCACTAGTACTACATTTACTAAAATCTGAATGTTTGCATCATTTACTATGCTCCTCCATAGGATTTCAAAAAGTGGAAAGTATTCAATAAGCTGGGAGGAATGGAGGACATTCAATCAGTACAACTTTTTCAGTGATGCTAAAACTATAGTCAAATATATGAGGGATTATTCCGTTAGCTTTTTTGTTTATTTATTTTTTTTAATCATTTATGAACTTATTCAGTCATACAGATATCCATCCACTTATCTATTCATCAATTCATTCATTCATTCACTCATTCATTGACAGAAAATGGACCCAGAGGAAAAGTTGGATGGATGGAAGTTGCTGCTGTCAGGAGCACTGGCTGGAGTGGTTTCAAAAACTGTAACAGCCCCACTGGAACGACTTAAAATTTGTTATCAAGTATTTTTCCCCTTATTATCATTCTCATTATTATCAATTATTTGAAATATATCATAATTATCTTTTTCATTACAATTGACAACAACGATTTGTTTATAATTTATAATATTATTTTATAGTAGCAATGAATAGAAATTTATTTAGATTCAAGAGAGGCACATGGGCCAGACGTCGTTGTTCACTGCAGTCAAAGATATAATTAAGAAGGAAGGTTTCCTATCGTTGTGGCGCAGTAATGGAGTCAGCCTACTCAAGATGGTGCCTGATAACGGCCTGAAGTTTTATTCTTTTGAAACTGTTAGTTGGGGCTGTCAGAGTCATTGATGGATTGTTGGGGTTGTTAGTGTTTAGTGCTGTTGATCGTGAGTTTGAGTTCCCGGTCATAGGTTACAGCTTTATTCAAACAATCAACTGAACTGGAAGAATGTTACAAGATAAGAATAAATATATAATTTCAATTAATCGAATTAGTCAAATAAATTAACAAAATTGCAGATAATGCATGAGTTAAAGTTGAGGCAGGGCGAGAATAGCATAACTGTACCTGAGAAATTTTTGGCTGGTTCCATGTCGGGCCTCCTTGCTCAATCCACTGTATATCCCCTTGATGTTATTATTATTGTTGTTGTTTATTATTATTTGTTGTTATCATTGAATTTAATATTGTCCCTTTGTTATTTCCTTCTTTCGTTAGGTTATCAAAGTAAGAATGGCTATAGCTAAAACAGATGATTATCATGGTAAATATAAATGTTCACTGTATTTATAAATAATAATAATAACATTATCGTTGTTGTTGTTGTTGTTGTTTTTATTGTTACAATTTTTAGGTATATTTGATTGTGCAAGACAGCTTTTCAAAAGTGGAGGTTTCAAGTCATTCTACAGAGGTTTCGTGGTCAGTTCATTTGGCATGCTGCCCTACGCTGGAATTGAACTCTGCGCCTATGAGGTTGGTGCTATTTATCATAATTTATGCGCATGTTAATGTTTTTGTTCTTTTTACTTTTGTTTTTGTTTAATTATGAATATGACGGCGGGTTAAATTTATGAAATTGATAGTTGCAGTTGTTCCCATTTTTGTGTTGCGTATTCTCTTGTTACATCAACTCTTCAGTTATAGTTAATAGTATTTATAGATTTAATTATATTAATATTTTAATCAAATTAATAATATTCCAATTCAATCATCCCCACACAGACACTGAAGCACACCTACAAATTACGATACCCTGAGGTTAACCACCCAGGCACGTTTATAATTCTTTCATCAGGGGTCGTCAGTTGTCTATGTAGCCAGGCTGCTGTTTATCCACTGTCACTCCTTAGGACTGAATTGCAAGCTGGATGTACGTTGGTTGGTTGGTTGGTTGGTTGGTTGGTTGGTTGGTTGGTCGGTCGGTCGGTCGGTCGGTCGGTCGGTCGGTCGGTCGGTCGGTCGGTCGGTCGGTCGGTCGGTCGGTCGGTCGGTCGGTCGGTCGGTCGGTCGGTCGGTTGGTCGGTTGATTGTTACATTATCAAAGTTTTAATGTTTTATTTTTTAACTTTAACAACACCAATGCAGTGACACCGAAATCGAGACGAGGATTTTTCTCACTGGCCAAGGAGATTTTTGTATCTGAAGGATTGAGAGGATTCTACAAGGGTTTAATTCCGTGTTTAACGAAAGTTATACCGGGAGTCGGGTTGTCCTATGTCGTTTATGAGGAAACTAAATTTGCACTATCTGTCGTCTGATTTTGTTGTATGTGCTAGAGCGTATTTCAAATTGGTGGGCGGCTTGAATGTTCGCCTGAATATGTGTTTATACTGCAAATATTGCCTGGCTGTGTCAACTGAATTCGTCAATGTGGATGAATAATTTTTTTCAATTCTTTGTAAACAACGTGCCTTCATACTTTATTATCGCTTAGTGTTGTAATCGTTTGAGAGTGTGTTGCAATAAATGAAAATTGGTTTTTGTGGTTCTAATATTTTGTTCCGCGACAAACTATTTAATTTAATTAGCTTGTTAATTTATTTCCTACTTTCGGTTATGAAATTTTGTTACGTTTGATGTCGATATTGAAGAGTTTTTTAATTTTTTCAACAACTTTGACTTCTCGCCACAAGAAATTATTCTCGTCTGAAAAATTAAGAAACAATTCACTGAAGTTATTCTTAAATATTTATAATAACAATAGAAGCGCCTGCACACTAATTAGTAGTAATAATAGTCAAAAAATAATGAAGGACAATATTGTACAGCTGAATTGTAGAAGAGAAGGTACATCTTTTTTAAAAATTTATTATAATTAATCTTTTAGTATTCTGTTAGTTATGTTATCTACTTTCTAATCAATAAATAGCTGACACTACAGTTTACACATTCATTCTTAACAATGTTAAGTTAATATTGTTAACAGTTAGCACACATTGCATTGGTCTTAGGCTCTTAGCTTTTAGATATAGAGATAGTTTGAAGAGAGACAATCCTAGTCTTCTTTTAGTTAGATTAGAAGACTCAAGAGTAGTTTACACACTGTAGTGTAGTGTAGTGTAGTATATCTTCTTAGATTAGAAGACTGAAGAGTAGTTAGCACTCTGTAATGTAGTGTAGTCTCATTTTAATTTATTGATCATTCATTAATTATAATTATTGATTTATATTTTGTATTTATTTCTCTTTGTTTTGCTGTATGTATCTATATTATATTTTAATTAATTTAATAAAACTATAATCGTTATAACTTATTATAAGGATACATTAAAAACATTTTAGATTCTTTAGATTAGATTTAAGAAATTTATATCTTTTTTAAAAATCCTACAGAACTAGATTATTGTGTAGAGAGGGCAGTAAAATCTCTACAGAAAGGTCATATAATTGCCATCCCCACCGACACAATCTACGGCCTAGCCTGTTTAGCTCAGAACAATGTGGCCATTGATAAGTTGTACACTATAAAGTCTCGACAACTCAACAAACCCATCTCGATATCAGTTGGATGTGTTGAAGATATTTTTAAGTTAGTAGTTTTTTCATTTAAATTTGTTTCATATTTTAAAATTTTGTTTATTACATGTATTCCTATTTAGATTATTATTTTAAAGAAGTTTCTCTAAAATATTTAAGAGAATACGAAATGAATTTTTTTCAATTTTTCAGATGGGCCAATGTTACAGTTTCTAAAGCATTGTTAAATGACCTGCTGCCCGGACCAGTGACTGTGGTATTTGAAAGGTCAACAAGTCTTAACAATAGTTTAAATCCCCAGACTCAACTGGTTGGTTTGCGGATACCCCAGGACAAGTTCATTCAGGACATATGCACTAAATGTTCCAACCCAATTGCACTGACAAGTGCTAATATAAGCTCTCACGAAAGTGCACTGAATATTCAGGTATGGTGTGTGTGTGTGACTTTGGTAATTGTTGTTGAATAAAAGTTATTTTTCATTATTTATTTTAATAATTTTGATTAAAAATGTGAGAAATTTAGCAAGAATATTATTGTTTGGCGTTTTGTTTTGTCACTGCCAGAATTCTTAATTTTTCAATTTTTTTTCAGGAATTTTCAGAACTCTGGCCTTCAATAGATTTAATTTTTGATGGCGGACCAATAACAGCTAATAATTCAGATAAGTCAGGATCAACTGTTGTTGACTTGTCAAGGCCAGATCATTATTTCATTATAAGGAGGGGGTGGTGAGGCCCAATTTTTTTCGAATCTTTATATTCTTTTTTTATATTTTCTATAATTCATAAAGTTGATATTTTTATTTCTTGCAGTGCCGAAAAAAATACAATTTCCATATTAGAAAGATACAAACTAAAGCCTGTTGTTCTCCCAATATTTTCATATTAAAAAAGTCCATTAATTCCTTTTCTGTAGATAAAAATACTGATCTGGTACATTGTATTACAATTCAAGCTTATTCAGATTTATTATTAAGATAATTATTTCTATTTTTTTAATAAATTTTTAAAGCTAATTATATGTTTGGATCCGCATACATGAGTCGTATATGTTTCAGTTTTGATGTCAGTGTGAAAGTTTCGTAAGCGTAAGAGATGCATGTTTTGAAGTGTAATTCAATGATCAAACCATAATTTACTAAATGTGCATATATATATAAATATACAAGTAATATTTACAGTACGGTATATATGTATATATTATATATAAAATGGAATATGATGGGCAAAATTATTCACTTGCACATTTTCAACAAGTGAATTAATAGTTTAAGATGGAAAATAAACCCAAGAAAACTTTGCAAACGTTCACCACAATGTAAAACGTCCCTTGAGAACAGTTTTTGCAAGTTATGTTCTGAAAAAAAAGCCAAATGTTTCGTCGGTAATTATCCAATGCATCCCTAGATCCGATTTCGATCTCATTTTGATTTCACATGTTACTTTGCTTTTACTGCATTTTGATTTTGTAGTTGAATTTAAAGTTGAATTAAAATGGCCACTAAGCGCAAATTAGGAAACAAACCTGCCGAATCGACTGATCGCAAGCTTAAGATCATTTACGGTTAGTGTATTGTAAATTTGGTGTTAAAATGTTTGATGAACCTGAAAATTTTTTTAAATATCATCCTGGCTTTGTAACATAGTTTTTGTTGTTTTTTTGATTAACTTTTTTTTTAAATAATTTGAATAATTAATGTGTTATCGTTTTTGCACGTACAAATTTTGACGTTCAAGATTGCCTAGATCATGGTGATTACAAGAAAGGTGTCCAAGAAGCTGACCGTTTACTGAAGAAATCTGCCAGTGGGGCAAACTCCACTTTTATTTCTTGTGTTAAGGTAGGTCTACTGTATAAGATGGTATAGTTAGTATAGCACTCCTTAATGTAGCACTACTAGCAATCTAATCTCACAAAAACAAACCTGTGAATTAAATTATGACTTTCACTTTAAACGTACAAAACAAATATGTGTTGGTATACAATACACAAGTCAAAAATGCACATACACATACATTGTATGATGCAGTTATGGGTACATACATGTACATACACATACATTATATGATGCAGTTATGGGTACACTGTCCAGACAAACAAACAAACAAGCAAAAATACAAATACACAGACTGAGTAACTTCTAGTGAGTTTGATAAGTTAAGGCAATTTATAATTAAATTCTTATCTGTTTCTCATGTCATTTCCTCAAAATTAGTTTAGGATTATAGTTTAAAACATAGTTTAAACATGTAGATTAAAGCATCAGCAAAGGGCCATGTGTTGCTAAGACTTAGAGTGCTAGATATTATTTTCTATCAGTATTATCTAATTTCATTAGCTATATTTGTGATCAGATTATGTTTATTTATAACATTTTTTATGTTTGAAAACTAATAATTGTACACAAATGGAATATAATTTGAATTAAAAATTCTATCCCAAACAAACACAAATCATGGTTCTGAAACTTTTGCTCCAAATAACATTAACAAGTCCCAAAATATTTCACCCCAAACAAACACACAAACATAGGCCCTTAAAGGTGTTTCTTTGGTGAATTTGGGTCGTAGAATCGAGGCAGAAGCACTAATGTTTGAACTGAAGCAAACCCAGCCTGTTGATGAGAATACATTAACTGCTATGCAATCTTGTTACAAAGATCTTAATGACTGTATGTTACGTTTGTGTATGTGTGTGTGTGTGTGCGCGCGCGCGCGTGTGTGTGTAATTATTTGTGTGTATGTGGTTGTTTTTGCATGTTTGATTGTTTGTCCATGAAAATTTTCTAAATGAAGCAATATTTTATTTCTAACTAGTGAAAAAACTGCAGTCATGGTGTTTTTTTTAAAATTATTACATTTATTTTCTCCACAACAAAAAACAAACAAAATTTTTTCAATTTTCATATATTTCTAATTATTCTTACAATTATTATAAAATATTATAATAATTATTATAAAAATATAAAAAGATTCCAATTATATATGAATTTTTCTTACTCTTCTACTTCTAATTCAGTACACTCAATAGTGGAGATATTCAAGAATGCAGTCGACAAAACTCCAAACCCGAGCCTAGACATGCTAACTCAGCTATTCATGGCCTACGTCAGGGTTGATGATTTTCAAAACCAGAAACAGGTGGCGCTGAAGATGCACAAACTGACGTCTGCTACTCAGTATCTGTTGTGGGTGGTTATAAGTAATTATTTCCTGGTTGGTGTACCTAATTTTTTTGTCTTTGTTGTTTTTGTGTTGTTTTTTCAGGATTTTCAAGTTTGTTTTTTAAAATATTGAATGTATGAACAGCATTAGTAGTCTAATTAGTAGTCATAAAATAATTAATCCAGTTTAGTATTGTGTGGGATGTACACAAATATGTGATGTACACAAATATGTGATGTACACAAATATGTGATGTACACAAATAAGTGATGTACAGAAATAAGCATGCACGCATCTGTCATACTTTTTTATTTGAATGTAATTTGATATGATTAGAAATATTATCCAGTATCATATAAAATTTCATAATTACCATTGTTGCATCATTATTTATTTTTTATACATACATACATACATAATTCATTTACCTGCTCAATCATTCACTCATTCATTCATTCATTGATTCATTCATTCATTGATTCATTCATTGATTCATTGATTCATTCATTCATTCACTTTTAGGCTGGTTATGATGTAGAGACCGGTTCAAAAATCTCACTGCCTGTTGCAGAGCAGATGATGATGAAATGTTTAGATGGACAGAAATTAATGCGTGATTCAGGTTGGCTGGTTGGTTGGCTGGTTGGTTGGCTGGTTGGTTGGTTGGTTGGTTGGTTGGCTGGCTGGCTGGCTGGCTTGTCATTATCTCTGGTAGTTTTTTCAATTACCATTATTATTATTATTAATTTTAGATGACAATTATTGTCCTGATCATTCAAATTGCTATCAATAGCATTATGATTTTTATCTCTTTCATTCACTTTCCCATCTCTCACGCTTTTTTTCCACTCACTTTCTCTCTTTATCACTCACATTTTTTTCTCTCACTTTCTCTTTTTTTCTATCCCATTCACCTTTTTTCTCATTCTCTACGTTTCATTTTCTTTTTTTCTCACTATCTCTCGAATTTCTCTCGCTTACTCTCTCTCCTCTCTTTCTCTATCTCTCTATCTCTTTCCTTCTTTAGTTTTCTCTCTTTCTCTCTCTCTCTCACACACACTCATCACTCTCTCCCATTTTCTCTCACTATTTCTCAGAATTCAAACTGTTGATCTTGATCTTGGAGAAGAGAGAAAAGTTTAAAGAGCTGCTGGACTTTTTTGAAGGACCACACAGATGTCTGTACAGTTTATTATTACTTTTATTATCCTATTATTATTATTATTATTATTATTATTATTATTATTATTATTATTATTATTCTATTCAATCAGTTGTTTATAATTAATATTTAATTATATTTATTTAATTATATTTATTTAATTATATTTATTTAATTATATTTAATTATAATGTTTATTATTATTCCTGTTATTAATTATATATATAGACAAAGCAATAGACAGCGCGATTTTGATGGATCGGATAAAGGCAAACCTGTACATAAAGCTCGCGATGTGGAAGGAGCTTAACGTCATGCTCAAGAATATTCTAGATTCAAAGTTATATTTATGAATTATAATTTCTATATAAATTATCATTATTATTATTATTATTATTCAAGGAGTAATGGATTAAGAAGCAGTAGTGATAAATAATGATTTTTTTTCATGTTGCCCCGACAGCTTAGACAGTTTCTCCGTCTACTGCGAATACATCAAGTACGGTCTCCATTACATCGACGCCGTCGTATGCAGCGACGACAGCAGCAGCAGCAGTGGCAGCGTTACAAGCAACCCCGACGTCAACTGCAACAAAAACATTGTTGATGTTGATGACGTCAAGAACAACAACGACGCTATGACGGGAAGTGACGCTAGCAGGGACACCACTAGCGACAACAATTTGATTAAAAATGATGATGACGTCAACAACAACAACAACAACAATGATGACAATAACAAAGAAAACAATATCAACAATGACAATAATAGCAAATCGGATAGTGATGTGTTGGATTTGTCTACGAGGACCATGTCAGCTGCAACAACGGAATCATCAGCGATAACATCAACAACAACAACATCAATAGCAACAACAACAAAAACATCACAATCATCGACATCACTACTACCACCGACATCGTCGTCGTCATCGTCATCATGTACTGCAACTGCAGATTCTACTGTGAAGAACCCAGACGATAAAAAGTCTATTTATTCAATCCTTTATTCATTCATTCGTTCATTCACTCGCTCATTCAAGAATCATTCATTCTTTCATTCGTTTATTCATTCATTCACTCGTTCATTCAGGAATCATTCATTCATTTTTTCATTTATTCATTCATTCATTCATTCATTGTAGAATCATTCATTCAATCTAGTTATAGGAACTCTCTCACCAAATTCATCAGTGAATTTCATTATTTATCCATCTATCCATCCGACCATTCATTTGTCCATCCATTCATGCACCCATCTTTCCATTCATTTATTAATTCAATCATTCATTCATGTTTTTATTCATTTATCCTGATTATAAGAAGTGAACCTCACCAGATACCTCAATCGATTGATTGATTCATTCGTTCGTTCGTTCGTTCATTCGTTCGTTCGTTCATTCATTCATCCATTTATCCATCATCTATTCATCCACCCATCCTTCCATCCATCCATTCATTCATCCATTCATTCATTCATTCATTCATTCATTCTGATTTTAGGAAGCCAAATGAGCCAGACACGTCGATAGAGAGCATGAGTGCTTACATATGCCAGAACATCCGAATGTCTTACTGTAATTATTCATCATTATAATTATTATTATTATTATTTATTATTATTATTTATGTAACTATTGTTATAGTTATTATTATTTTTATTATTACAAATAATTATTGATGCTTTATGCATGTATATGTATACACGGTAATAAGAGTGTTTTGATTTTTTTGTTCTTTCAATTATCCGTTCCTTCATTCATTTTTTCTTTCATTCATTCATTCTATCATTCATTCATTCATTCATTCATTCATTCATTCATTCATTCATCTCTTCATTCATTTTTTTCATTCATAATAATTACAATAAAAAATTGTAAAAATAATAATAATAATAATAATAATGTTTTCTTTTTCACGATGATGGCAGACGTTAGCAATGGAAAAATGAGAGGTCCATATCTTGGCCAGTTGTATTTCTACTACGCATTATCTTTAGATCCAGTAAAATATGGAGATTATGGTTTGTTGTTGTTGTTGTTACTGTTGTTGTTGTTGTTGCTGTTGTTGTTGCTACTGATGTATAATCAATCACACGCACGCACGCACACGCACGCACATTCGTGGAATCTTTGATAATCATTTTTTATTCATTGTATTACTATTATTAGTTTATATTGTTCTGTTTTGTTATAATATTATGACTTAAATTATGACATAATTACACCTCACACACGTACGCACGTACACACGCACACACACACACACACAAACAAACAAACACATACACACAAAAACAAACACACACGCACAAAAACAAACACACACACTCAAACAAACACACACACAGCACCCACATTTGTGAAAGCCCTGATAGAATACTACAAGATGTTCTATCATAAGCCGTCCTGCTTCAAGGATTGTAGAGAGTTCATCGACAAATTAGACGCCGAACAAACCGAGGAGGTTTAATTATAATCATAATTATAATCATAATTATTTAATTATTATAATCAATTATGATTAATTATTATAGTAATTAGTATGGTTAATTGGGTTATAAATCGTTCTGTATGGTAATTTTTGTTTGAAGGTTGTATGTGATTGTATGTGGTTGTACTTCCGCTGCTGCTATTGTTGCTGCTGCTACTACTACTGCTGCTGCTGCTACTACTACTACTACTACTACTACTAATACTACTACTACTACTACTACTACCACTACTATTACTATTACTACTACTTTTCTACTATTATTTATTTATATGTGTGCTGTAGTAGTGTAGTTATTATATGTTTTATTACAAACAGTTTCTAAACTCTGTGAAACCATTGAAAGATGATGATATCAACAATTTGGAATTCCCCAATACAGTTAGCGCCTTCACTTTCACTTTTCAGTCAATTAATCAATCGATCAGTCAATCAATCACTCATCAATCAATCAATCAATCAATCGTTCGATCAATCAATCAATCCTTGAAAACCCATTCAGCTACTTATATTAATCTATCAATTGATTAATTAATCAATTATGGTGACATCTAATTAACATTTAATTAACGTAGATTAACTTCTAATTAGCGAAAAATTATTACAAATCAATATTCAAAAACCTATTTAGCCTTTAAAAAAAAAATTTACATTTAATCATTCCATCTAATTAACATAATTTATCATCTAATCAACATAAATTTACATCTGGACCAATCAACATGCACGGTCATCTAATTAACATAATTTGCCACCTAATTAACATAAATTAACAGCTGGACGAGATGATAAGGCACCAGTCGTACATCCAGGCCTGGCTGTTCCTTCGAGATAAGTTCCTGGCTGACACGGAGGAGGTGGGCGATGCTGCCCTGGGCTGGAGGCTCAGGTACGTCATCAGGATCATGACCTACTACGAACACGGCCACCGATTTGGTGAGTGAGTGAGTGAGAGAGTGGGTGAGTGAGGAAGTGAGAAAGTGTGTGTGTGAGTGAGGAAGTGAGAGAATGAGTGAGTGAGTGAATGAATGAGTGAGTGAGGAAGTGAGAGAATGATTGAGTGAGTGAGTGGGTGAGCAAGTGATTGACAGTTACATCAATTGAATCGTCGTTTACTACAAACACGTGCAACCTTTCAATGAGGGAATAAGTTAATAGACTAACGAACGAATGAATGAATGAATCAATGAATTAATGAATGAATAAATGAATGATTAATTCACTAGGTGAAGGATTAAAGCCGACGGAAATTCAACCAGCCGATGCCTACATCATCTTCGCGGTCACTGTCACTTTTGAACTGTATAAACTTACAAGTCTGTTGTTGTTGTTGTTGTTGTTGATGATGATGCTGATGATGATGATGATGTTGATGATGATGAAAACCATAATCACGTGACGCAGATGACATAGTGTTCGTCATAAGATCGGTGGCCTCAATGGAGCGATGCTTAGTGAAGAGTCCATCAAACCATTGCATCAAGCTACTGCTTATACAGCATTATGCTATTTTGGGTTCGTTCGTTCATTTGTTCGTTTGTTCGTTCGTTCATTCATTCATTTGTTCGTTTTTTCGTTCGTTCATTCATTTATTTGTTCGTTCGTTCATCTATCAGGTGACTCGGCAAAGTGTTTGCAATTAAGTCAATCTCTGGATTTGAAGCACATACAAACTGATACCTTAGGGTCGATATTACTATTATTTATTATTATTATTAATTAATTAATTAATTATAATTCTGACTGTAATGATAATTATTATTATAATAATATCATTAGATATTATTCCCATTAGATATTTGTTCAGTAACGTGTTAATGAAACATGGCCACTGTCAGTTGGCGTTGGAGTTTCATGAGAGTATGTTTCAATTCTATTCGTCTTCACCTAATGAGGTCTGTTTCTGATTGGCTGGTTGGTTGGTTGGTTGGCCAGCTGATTGATTGGTTGACTGATTGTTTGGTTGGTTGGCTGATTGATTGGTTGATTGACTGACTGGCTGGCTGGCTGATTTCTTGGCTGGTTGATTGATTGTTTGGTTGGTTGGCTGATTGATTTGTTGACTGATTGATTGATTGGTTGGCTGGCTGATTGGTTGATTGATTGATTGATTGGTTAGATGGTTGGCTGGTTGATTGGTTTATCATTATAACTATATAAATAATGGTAATAGTTGATTGTTGTATTGATAATTACGACACTCTGAATGTTGTCTGTAATGATCGAAATAATCCAATTTGTAAACAGCTCATAAACTACATAATGTCATGCTTCAAGTGGTCCATTTATGAAAAGGTTATCGTCATCATTATCATCGTCATTATTGTTATCATCATCATCATCATCATCATCGTGTCTATCATCATTGTCGTCGTTGTAGCTACTATCGTCATCATCATCAACCGTTTTTCGTTCTACTACTACTACCACCACCGCTACTACTACTACTACTACTACAACTACTACTACTACTACTACTACTACAACTACTACTACTAATAATAATAATGATGATGTAATGATAATGATGAACATGAAATTGATGATGATGGTGTTTAAGATGATGGTGACGACGATGATGATGACAATATAGGTACCGGAATTGGTAAAGATGAAGGGCAAGATTCTATATTCAATACAGCACGTCAGCACGGTTACTAATAAGCTGCTATTGGATTTATACAGGCTGCACGCTGAGTTCGGCTTTTTCTTTTCATTCATTCATTCTTTCTTTCATTCATTCAGTGATTCATTCAGTAATTCATTCAGTAATTAATTAATTCACTGATTCAGTATTTCATTTATTCGCTGGCTCAGTAATTCATTCGCTGGCTCAGTAATTCATTCACTGATTCAATATTTCATTCAGTGATTCAGTTAATTCATTCAGTAATTCAGTTAATTCATTCAGTAATTCAGTATTTCATTCAGTGATTTAATAATTCATTCAGTGATTCGGTAATTCATTCATTCATTCATTCATTCATTCATTCATTCATTCATTCATTCATTCATTCATTCATTCACTAATCAACCCACCCGTCCATCATCAACTTCCAGTTTTTACGCCATCAACCAGTACGTGCATTCGAACAACATCCTCCGATTGTCCTTCTGTAATGTCAGCGCCTTCGACCTCGTCGACAACAGAGATTTCAACGTCATACCCCAGTGGAATCTCTTTTGCAGGTTCATCTCCTTTGTTTGCTTGTTTGTTTGTGTGTGCTTGTTTGTTTGTTTGTTTGTCTGTTTGTCTGTCTGTCTGTCTGTCTGTCTGTCTGTCTGTCTGTCTGTTTGTTTGTTTGTTTGTTTGTTTGTTTTTTTGTTTGTTTGTTTGCTTGTTTGAACTATATGTACGGTCCACTTTATATTATTTGTTGATTGATTGATTGATTTAATTAATTAATTAATTTATTCATTCATTCATTCACCGCACCATGTAGAAATGTTAAAGAGATTAAAGAGAAATCATTCAATGAGGAGGTTGGTCGGTCAAGGCATTCATGTTTATTAATGTTTCAGTTTTTCAAACGAAATTTCTATCTGGTCTCTCAATCAAATTAGTTTATCAGCAATTGAAACGATCAATCAATCAATCAATCGATCGATCGATCGATTATATAACAATCAAATCTTTTAATCAAAACACCAACCAGTTTGTTATTTCGTCTATCAATCAATCAACAATCAGGCAACTTAAAATAGCTACTGACCAATTAACCTCTCAAAAACTCCTGCACCAATCAACCATTTATTCAGTCCGTCGTTCAATCAATTAATTAATTAATTAATTAATTAATCATTAAACGAATCAATTAACCATTTAACCAATCAACTAACTAATAGAGACTGTGGATCTACATCCAATCGAACATTGTAAAATTCATCTGGTTTGCAGTTTCAACATCTCACAACATCATCAAAAATAGATTCAAAGAGTACCTCAACAAACCACTGCTCACTGATGCCGTTTCGGAATTGGAAGCAGCTACTGCAGCTGCTGCAACAGCTGCTACAGCTAATACGACAGCTGATGCAGCTAATGCCACAGCTGCCACGGCTGACACCGACAAAGTTTATTCGCCATTCACGCAGGCGACAACGCTCAGAAACAACAGAGCGATACACAACGTCCTGAAGTTTCTGGATTGTGGTGGTAATGATTGCTCCGCACCCTTTTCAACATCGTCATCAGTATTTGCGACGCCGACAGCCCTGCTACAGCCACAACTCTCGCCATCGTCGCCGTCGTCGTCGTCTGACTGCGATCTACACTTCGAGCCTTTGGTTCTGCTCGATGTTGAAGACGATAGTATGGAAAAGTTTAAGAGCTACAGCAATGCCATCTGTGGCATTGTCCTGGGAACACACAGTCACAAGGTTCATATTTGCTAAGTATTATTATTTTTTTTTTGTTTTTATTATTATTCGTTTTATTATTTGTTGTTGTTGTTGTAGTTGTTGTTGTTGGGACAGTTTTTATTATCTATGATCAATTAACCAAGAACTATTGTCGTCAAATCCAGTCAGATATAAACACTATCATGATGTATACATACGCACACTCACACACACACACACACATACACGCACACATACAACTAAATACACGCACAACCAAACACACGCATAACCAAACACGCACGCACGCACACACGCATAGCAAAACACACACGCACACACGCAATCAAACACGCACACACACGCACGTACACAACCAAACACACGACAGTTACTAAACGAGGAAGAGTATTTCTTCAGTACGCCTATGAAGTATTTCTTTAAAAGGAAACTGCACACGTCAATCCAGCAGTGCGTGGATCTATTCTTTGGCGTTATCCGCGTCGTCAATAATCCAGAACAAGGTCAAGGACATTAGTAATTATAATTGCAAATAATAATAATTATTATAATTATAATAATAATGATAATTATGTATGTTTGTGTGTTTGCTTGATAAGTAATAATATAGGTAATAGTTATTAATAATAATGATAACTATAATTGGAAATTATAATAATAATTGTAATAATAATTATAATAATTATGAATGTTTGTGTGTTTGCTTGATAAGTAATAATATAAGTAATAGTTATTAATAATAAATGATAATTATAATTGAAAATTATGATAATAATTGTAATAATAATAATTATAATAATAATTGTTATAATAATTATGAATGTTTGTGTGTTTGCTTGATGTGATCGAGATTGCGGTGGTATGGACATATGTTGAGAAGGGATGAAAGGGTCGGGATCAGGCGAGCGTTGGAGTTCGAGGTTGAAGGAGTGGTAGGAAGGGGTCGTCCGCGATGGGATGGAGAGAGCAGGTGGAGAAGGACAGGGTGAAAGCGGGGTTGCGTGATACTGAGGCGAGTGACAGATGTGGATGGCGTCGAGGGGTATTTCGGTTTCATCATAGGTAGCCAAACGGCAACCCCCGATCTCGGGAAAATGTCGTCTAAACTTGTGTTGTTGTTGTTGTTGTGTGGCTACTTGATGTGTAATAATATAAATGATAATTATTAATAATAATTAATAATTGTAATTGGAAATAATAATAATAACAATTGTAATAATAATTATAATAATTATGAATGTTTGTGTGTTTGCTTGATAAGTAATAATATAAGTGATAATTATTAATAATAATTATTAATAATAATTATGTGAAGAAGAAATGTATGTATTCATTGGGTGTCATTTCTTTTCAATGGTTACAGATTCTACTGTTAAAGTTTTTGACTCGGTCTGGGAGTTAGCAATATTTGGTTAGTAGTAGTAGTGGTAGCAGCAGCAGCAGTACTAGTAGTAGTAGTAGTAGTAGTAGTAGTAGTAGTGGTGGTGGTTGTAGTGGTAGTAGTAGTAGTAACAGTAGTAGTAGTAATAGTAGTAGTAGTAGTAGTAGTAGTAGTAGGAACAGTAGTAGTAGTAGAAGCAGCGGTAGTAGCAGGTAGTAATGGTAGTAATAGTAATAGTAGTAGTAGTAGTAGTAGTAGTAACGATTATACTTAATGATAAAAGTTATTATTCTAGTTGTAATAATTTCTTTAAATTTCAAAGATGCCCTAAAGAGTGATGATGATGTACAGACATTAACTTGGGTTTGTTATTATTATTATTATTACTACTACTACTATTACTATATCCATTATAATTACCCTGTTTAGTCATAGTTATTATTAATTATAGTTGTTATTTATTGTGACATTGTTTAATTATTGCCCACTAGCACATAAACCAGCTGCTGGCCATCCTTGCTAGCTGCGGTCAGCTACTGCTACCATTCAGACAGACCAAAAAAGCAAAGAAGAAATTAAAGTTTCCGGAAATTGTTATGATTATTATTATTTTTATTATTATTGCCGTTCTTCTTCTTCTTATTATTATTTCGTTTCGTTATCATTCTTGTTTTAATTATCAAAAAAAGAAACGTTAACAATAGTACTAATATTATTATTGTTATTATTATTATTGTTATTCATTATTATTTTTATTTATTATTGTTATTATTATTATTGTTAAGATGAAAGGGAGGGTATATAAAGCATGTGTGAGAGCAGCGATGGTATATGGTGGTGAAACTTGGGTGTTGAGGAGAGAGGAGGAAAGTGTACTGCAGAGGGCTGAAAGAGCTATGGTGAGGATGATGTGTGGGGTTAAAGTGAAGGATAGGAGGAGTAGTACAGAGCTGATGTCAATGATGGGACTGAATGAGGACATTGTGACATTGATAAGGAGATCGAGATTGGGGTGGTATGGACATGTGTTGAGAAGGGATGAAAGGGTCGGGATTAGGCGAGCGTTGGAGTTCGAGGTTGAAGGAGTGGTAGGAAGGGGTCGTCCGCGATTGGGATGAAGAGAGCAGGTGGAGAAGGACAGGGTGAAAGCGAGGTTGCGTGATACTGAGGCGAGTGACAGATGTGGATGGCGTCGAGGGGTATTTCGGTTTCATCATAGGTAGCCAAACGGCAACCCCCGATCTCGGGGAAAATGTCGTCTAAACGTGTGTTGTTTGTTGTTATTATTATTGTTATTATTATTATTGTTATTACTATTATTATTATTATTGCTATTGTTATTATTATTATTGTTATTCATTATTATTTTTATTTATTATTGTTATTATTATTATTGTTATTATTATTATAATAATTATTATTATTGCTATAATTTCTTCGCAGCCCAACATCCTGAAGAGTTTCGACCTGATGATGTACGCAGTTATGGCGATGCACGCCAACCTGCTGAGTCACTACGCTGAGGTCGAATCGCCGAAAGATATAAAGATAGAAGAGATGGTTGAACAGTTCGGAGCTGTATGCTCTTTCTTTCCATTCGTTTATTCGTTTGTTTGTTCGTTCGTTCGTTCGTTCGTTCGTTTTTTCATTTGTTTAGTCGTTTGCTCATTCAGATATTCTGACCTTTCAAACATTCACTCAGATATACAAACATTTCGTTAATTCATTTAGACACTCAAACATTCATTTATTTACTCATTCATTCAGTCGTTCGTTCACTAATTCATTCAGTCGTTCATTCACTCATTCATTCCGCAGATTGACCACGTAAGCATCAAGAAGATTGTGACGTCATTGAATGCTGCAAGTTTAGCCTGTAGAAACAAAATGCATCAACTGCTAGATGCCCAAATTCCATACATCAACTCCTTCAGGAATCTCGATTTTAATCCAGTATGCCAGTGTGTTTATGTCTGTCTCTCTCTCTCTCTCTCTCTCTCCTATCTCTCTCTCTCTTATCTCTCTCTCTCTTTCTCTGTGTGTGTTTATGTTTGTCTGTCGTGTATGTGTGTGTGTGTAATGCATAAGTGTGTTTTGTCTTTGTGTGAATAGTTATATATATATCTATGTATCTGTGTATGTTTCTGAATCATTTGACGTATGTGTGTGTGTGACTCAATAATAATTTTATCATAATATTCAGCCCTAATTCAGCAATAATAGTTATGAATTTTGTAAAATATTTCTCTTAAATACATTTTTCCTCTCTCCAGGATATTCTCAGCGGAGCCGACAAAACTGGAGAACTAGTGGAAAGATTGAAGGCATTCAGCATCAAATTATGATCCATTGCGATATTTTTTATAGTTATATATATATAATTATATACACACATATGTATATATACATATATTAGTGATGTGTGTGTGTGTTTGTGTGTGTGTATTTGTGTGTGTGTGTGTATTTGTATGTGTGTCTGGGTGTGCGACTAGAGTTTGTCTTTAGTAATAGTAATTACTAACAATAATTTCTAATAGTATAGCTATTACTTTTATTAATTATTTATATTATTATTATAAATAATTATGATGATTCTATTGTTCAATCGAAATGAGATGTGAGAGTGTTTACTAATTGCCTTCACCCTCTTTCTCTCTCTCTCTTTCTCTCTCACTCTCACACACACAAATGTGTGCATATGGCGTTTTCAAATGCTCAAATAGATTTGTATTATAACTCTTTATTATTATTCTTCATTATTATTATTCTTCATTATTATTATTTATCATTATTATTTTTTCTTTTTTATTACTACCATTGTTATTGAACAAAATTATGTAACAAATTTTTAACAGATATTTCGTTTTGTTCATACCAATGTATTATAATTTGACATGCATATATAATATGTATGTATATATATATATATATATATATATATATATATATATATATATATATATATATACATACACAATTTATAAAGCGCTATATCTCTCTCATTCTATTAATTTAATTAGGAAATCGGTTAAAAGGCAAAGATTTTTTTTTAGAACATTTATGAATTATTGCAAAAAAAATCAACATTTTTATTAGAGTTTACCTTTAAACGACTGTAAATTATTATAATTTTAATAATTAATATAATAATTATTATATATATATAATTTTAATTATGACTGTGTGTATATTTTTGTTGGCGTGTGTATTGTGTGAGTTTGTGTGTGTGTGTTTGTATATTCGTACTGTGATATGATTTTTGTTTTTATGTGTGTGTGAGAGATTTTGTATGTGTGTGTGTGTGTGTGTACTGTAATGTGATTTTGTGTGTGTACTGTGATGTAACTTTGTGTGTGCGTGCGTGTATGTGTACTATGATGTGATTTTAAAGATCGAAAATAAATGGATAAACGTGTAATGTGTGTTCGTGTATGTCTTTTATGTTAATATTGAATGAAAATTAGGTAATAAATTACATCAAATGAAAAATAAATTGAGAATTGAGTCAATTTATTTTTAATTGTAAATTTATTATTTATTTTTTTTAAGAATTAACGTTTGGATCGACACTCGTGATATAAAAAATATCAATTAAACTTTATTCAAAAATACATTTTTATGTTTTCCCTCTCATTTCTCTCATTCCCCTTATACCCTATTAAAGTAATAACTCATCTGTTGGTATTCTAAAGACGCACACAACACCCAAAATCACCATTAAAAATGTTCGCACTTTCACCAAAAAATACCACCCAATACTTCAACCAACTGGTATTGCAAAGGGACTGCCAGGTATGTCGTCCATACCCCACCTAACGGTTAGGGCATGTTCGCCCTTTTCAGGGGCGTTGTACGTCACAGTGTATACGCCTGCTCTGGATTTTTTGTACGATAACTCTTGGACTGGATTGCCGTTCGGTGATAGCATACCCAACGTTAATAGGGCTTGACCTTTGAGTTCGTGTTATTTAGAAAGGGTTGACCGGTTTTGTTGATTTAAACTTTTGTTGATTTAAAAAAATTCACTAAAATGAATGAACATTGCGTTGAAATATAACTTGTTGGAAAATATCTTGTTAATTCAACTTACCAGCTTCTTTGCAATCGAGTGTGAAGTTAGCTGCTCTCCCTGGAAATCCTTTCTTCAATCCGTTTCCTTGAGCCACAACTTTGTTGGCATCCCCGTGGAAACGTTTGGCTTTCGACGCACCTGGTTTTTTTTCTACCGTCTCAACAAATAATCCGGAGCTTTCCACGATGTCCGATTGCCTTCCCTTTCCTGGCTTGGAAAAAAATCTATCTTAAAATATCTGTTTTTTTTGGTTTTTAGAACAATTTTAATTATTTGATGGCGAATAAAAATGTTTTAAAAATGACCTGTGATGACAGCTTTGAACGGCGACCCAGCTATCGTAACTGAGCAGAACTTGACCGTGATGTAATAATCACCCGGCGCCATCGGGGTGTACGTAAAGTCGTAACCCTCTTCAACCTCTGAACATACGATGGCCACCTTTGACGGGCCGTCAATGTTGACCGCCAGCACACCGGCCCCCGCATTTGTCGTTATCACGTTCAGTTTGCAAGTCTTGCCTAACGGTGAATATTTTAAATGGTTCGATATTATTATTTTACCTAAAACGTAAAGAGTATAACTAAGACTCGATGTTTTAATAGGTGATATTTATTTAAATGAAAGTTTTTTTCAACTACCAACCTACTTCACCCTTCTCGATCCCAGGTCCCTTAGCCACGACATGGGCAGGATCAGCTCCCAACTTTCCCACCAGCATGGGGAAGGGACTTCCCGGTATATGAGCTTCATTGAATCGAATGTACACGTAATAAACTCCATTCTCTCTTGGAATGAATCTTACCGCGTAGATATCGTGATCAATTTCTTGACTGAATATGTCCTCCTCAGTGCCTGATGGAGTCTTTACGAATGCTTTCAACGTACCGTTTGCGCCGTTCAGTTTCACGTTGAACGTTGCTGGTTTATCCACCTGACGATTAACAATTTTTAATGAATATACCAACTTCGGCAAAAGTTTTTTGTAAAAGATTTCAGGAGACATTAATCTAAACTCACTTCTAAACCTCGGTCTCTCAGTCCGTGGAGAGTGACCAGCTGAGCGTCCTTACTCTCCGGAGAAACGTGAACCACGGTGGGGGATCTAGGGATGTGCTGGTCATTGTACTTCACGTGGATCCCGTAATCACCTGTCATTCGGGATTGCGTAAAGAAGTAACTTATGCCACCATTAAAACATGGCTTACATAGCAGTTTTAATGACTGCCTCCAATGAAGAACAAATTCGATCGCGAAATTGACTTTAGAAATCAGTTTAATGTGTATATAACAAATGATTTAACTTGATAATTGCCCTAGCTACTGATAGATCTCTTCAATCATGTAGTTAAAATGTCACAATGACACTAATTAGGGTGATTAGAAGATTAGTACCTTCTCTGGCCACTTGATATGAAACAATTGAGAACCCATCGGGGTTGTCTTCTACGTTTATTTCCGCCTTGGAGGGGCCCTCCAAGGCTATCGAAAGCAGTCCCTGGCCCGCCTCCCTCGTGTAAACGTTGAAATAATCTGCAAATAATTTGGATTGGATGTTATTTTAAATGAATTTAGCGTTATTTAATGGGAAATAAATGATTGGAAATAGTTTTAAACGAAATTTGTAGTAATAAACATCATATTATTAACCTATCGTAAATTATTACTCTTTAAATGAAATTGGTACACTATTAAAAAAGATATCAAATTTTGTTAAAATGCATTTTTATTATGATTAATTATATTAAAAATTATGCATAATTACTTTTAGAGTTCACTTCCGCCCTATCTACTCCGGTTCCGCCAAACTCCACTTTATGGCTTCCGCCCACTGGCAACTTACCCACGGAAAACTGGAATGGACTTCCTGTGACGTCATTTCATTGTATTTTACGAAATTTTTTTTATCGTGGTGTATTGTATTGTGCTGTTTATGTTGCATATTGCATGGATTTCACGAAACTTTACTGAAAAAAATAACGAAAATAAAATTAAACAAATATAAAAATAACGAAACCGTGAAGATGGATGCCCTTGTATTTGATGCTGAGCGTGTGCACTCCGTCTTCCGGCGGGGTGAACCTAATTTCAAAGAGGTGGTCCTCCTTATCACGGATCTCGCACGGCTCCGATTCACCGCTCGGTGATGTCAGTATGGCTTCTAAGTCTAGAGGGTTGAGCCCAGTAAGTTTCAGCTCCAAACTACACTGATCCTTGGCTCTGACCAGCCTAGCGGCGTTGATGTTCTTTGTGACTGTCTGTCGCACTCGACCAGATGGCTCGCCGGACACACTCACCATGAATGGGCTGCCTATTTTTTGTTTGGTTTTTATTTTTTATTCTATTTTTAAAAAAACGTTTTAGTTCTGTAGAGAAGTGGTAAAAAATGAGCAGCCAACCAACCAACCGGTAATGTGTTCATCCCCGAACTTAACATTGAGCAGATATATGCCAGGCTCGTGCGGCTTGTAAGATAAGACGTACTCAGATGAACTTTTACCCTTGATTTCCAGGTCTGACCTGTGAGACCCCTCTATGGAAATCCCCAATGCTCCTAGCCCTGTAGTCATTTTTATAATTTGTTGGTTGACGAAAGCCATATTGGAGTATCGGATCGTAAGCACGTCTCCACAATAAGTTGGGTGCTGGCTTTACGTCTTAAAATTAAGACATTGAGGAAACAGCACCCCAGAGCCACGAGCAGCAACAAACAGCCCCACACGAATAGTCTTAGCCACAGTGATAGCAACAAAACCATAACCCAAAAAACAAAAATAGACATGAAACAGACCGGCAGACGACAAATCGATGCTGACGTCATTCCACTGATTGGCGTTGGCGCTTTTTGTTGACCCAGACACGTGAACTTTCGACGCGTGACAGAGTTCTGCCTCACTTACGTTCACGTTGAACGGACTACCGCTAATAGGTCGGCCATCTTGGCTAACTTCGACCATGTACATTCCTTTCCTCTTTGGCTGAAATGATGCTATGGCTGTAGAATGAGAAAAATAATTTGCATTTTGTGTAAGCAGAAATGATTTTAAGAAATAAAAATGTAAGTAATGTTTCAATAAGCATTTTATTTATCAGTGAAACCCTGGAGTAAAACTCAAGTCAATTTCAACCGTCAAGCAGCAACAACCAACAATAACGTTCACAAATAACAGCAAATAAAATCATAATTACACAAACGAATAATAATAATAATAATAATGATAATTATTTAACAAGTTCATATAATTAAGTGACGTGGTTAACCCAATTTTCCATCAGCGGTCTTCATAAGCATGCAAGGTTCAGCCGGCCCACCACTGGGTGACCTTATGACCCCAACCATGTTCGCAAGGTCAACATTGCCCCCGCAAAGCACGTACGCGCCTGTCGCCGCTACTGATAGCTGGGTACGTTTCTGACCTTCGCCTAGTTTGATGAAAAAAAAAACAAGAAACACAAATTAACTACTTACAAAACAAAAACCGTCAAGCAAGAAATCAAAAAACGACCCCCTCAACAAATCCACCCCCTCCCACCTACCCATCCTTACCTGAAACTTTAACCTGGAAGGGTGATGAATAAATTTCATGCCCCTTGTGCCTAACGTGTAGGTTATACTCTCCGGCAGCCAAAGGTACGTACGAAACTTCAACAATTCCATGCGATTCTTTCTTGCGAACGATATCTGCCTTCCCAGGACCGCTTATCTCAATGTCTATATCGTCTGCGGTCGTCAAAGAGAAAAATTCGTTGAAAATGGAATAATAATACTTCTGCTTCTGTTGCTACTACTAATGCTGCTACTACTCTACTAATGTTAGTACAAATGCTATTGCTACAGCAGCTAAAGCTGCTGCTACTAATACTACTGGGAAGATTATAATGATGACAATGATAATGATGACAATAATGAATATGTGGATGATGAGGATGATGAAAATAACTTTCACTTTTTAAAATAATTTAAGTAGTAGTTGTAACAAAATTTTTATTTCTGGTTTCTTTCTCTCTCCATCTTAATTTCTCTCTTTTCTTTTACCTCTATTTACCTATTACACGCACACACACCCATGCACACACAAACGCGCGCACACATAGACACACACACATTTACAAACACACACACACACATATGTATATTTATACACCTGCAAATATGTTTGCCTAATAAATGAATATTGTTAAAAAAAAGTAATATTTCGATCATCAAGTATATAAATTTAGTAATATCCATATAATCGAGAATTCAACCTATGGAATAATAAAAATACTCTTTGTGGGTTTGTTTGTGTGTTTGTTTGTGTGTCTATGTGTGTGTGTGTGTGTGTTTGGATGTGTGTGTGTGTATTTGTGTGTGTGTTATCATATTTATTTTTTATTTATTCCTTCATTAAAAGATTTATTTAAAAACATCTAGTTATTTTTATTTATTTTTAAAGTGGTTAATAATAGGAATAGAAAGAAGAAAGTATGAATGGGGAGGAGAGAGAGAGAGAAAGAGAGAGAGAGAAAGAGAAAAATGGAAGGAGAAAAGTAGAGAAATGAGAATAAAGAGAGTAGTGATCGTGAATTACATGAGTTTATTCCAAAAGAATTTATGAATTGATAGAATGTCATTGGTGGGCTACCAAATTTCTAGATGGTGATACAACATTATTCATCCATTCATCCATCTAGCCATCCATCCATCTATTCATCCATCTTTCAACTGATTATCCATCGTTCAATCAATCATTCGTTCAGTCAATCATTTCATTCATTCAACAATGGATGAATCAATCATTCAATCCGAGACTAGATTCAGTATCAGTACTTTACTTTGTGACACAGAATGTTAGAAAAAACACAAAGAGGGACAGAAAGAAAGAGAGAGAGAGAGAAAGAGAGAGAGGGTATTGGCGATGCAACATGTATGTATTTTTAGCAACTCTGTCTGATCAACAGTTTTAAAACGAAATAATAACAACAAATGATAACAATTAATAATAATAAATAATAATTATAGTAATAAATAATAGAAATAACAATAATAAATAATAATGATAACGATGCCAAAGAGAACAAACCATCTTTCCCAACGATGTAAAATGTGGATTCCTTGCCACTAACTCCGCAGCTCAATCCGGATCCGTAAGCAGTGATGTGCTGGTCGACCACTAAATGAACTGGGGTCCCTGGGGCCGAATAATGTAATTGTAATTTGGTTGTAACTTGTTTTCGATTTAATTGCAACGTAACTGTAAAGTATTGACGGGATGGAAAGCGATTACAACGTTGTATGTTGCTGTAATGATGTGACGTCATCATCGTCACCTTCACCATCTTCCTTACCCTCATCATCATCACAAATTAAACTTATAAGGTTAAATATATATATGTATATATGTATGTATGTATATATATATATATATATATATAATATATGTATAAATGTGTGAGTGTGTGTGTGTATGCGTGTGTGTGTGTGTGTGTGTGCATATAATTAAGTGTTATTAGTGGAATGGAGATAAGGAATAAGTGATATATGCATTCTGTAAATTAATATCCTGTGAATTTGTGTGCGTGCGTGCGTTTCATCATCATCATCAATTATCATCATCACAATCACTATCGTCACTATCATCAGTATTACCATCATCACCATCAGTATCATCATCATCATCATCATCACCACCATCAGTATCATCATCATCATCACCACTATCAGTATCACTATCAGCTTGAACCGCACAACATCATTTGTATTAATTTTTATTGATATCAATCATGTATGTAGAACCTGATATGATTATTGTCAGACATCTTGTTTTTTGTTGTCGTTTGTATCTCTTTGTATGTTTGTTTGTGTTCGTGATTGTGTTTGTTGTCTATTTTGTTTGTATCTTTTTATATTTATATGTTTGTGCATACGCTCACACACACACACACACACACACATATAGACAGACACACACACACATACATACAATTTTCGAAACATTGTAACAATAAAATGTATGATTGCATGGGCTGGGGTGCTGAAGAATTAATGGTTTTAAGCTCAATACAAATATGCTGGCGGAATGTTTGTTTGTATGTTTGTATGCATGTTTGTTTGTATGTTTGTATGCATGTTTGTTTGTTTGTATGTGTGTGTATGTATGTATGTATGTATGTATGTATTTGGCCATTAATAATTCTGTATGTGTGTGTATGTATGTATATATGTATATATGTATGTATGTATGTATGTATGTATGTATGTATGTATGTATGTATGTATGTATGTATGTATGTATGAATGTATGTGTGTGTGTGTGTGTGTGTGTGTGTGTGCGTGTGTGTCAAGGGCCCAACGGA